TATATATATATATATATTTACATATTAAATGTATTATTTAATTTATTTAAATATTAAATATAATTTTTGAATATATTTATCTATTTAAATACGTTAAAATAAAATCATATTATTTAATAAATTTATTTATTATATTATTTAACGTATTTATTATTTATTAAATATTTATTTAATATATAAAAAAAATAATTAAGATTTAATAATGTAGATTAATATAAAAAGTAACATTAGCTGTAATAAAAGTTAAATCAACCAAAGTAATTAAATATATAATAAAACTTTCTTGTGAGATATATAAATGAAAATTCAAATATTTAACATAATTGTGTTAGGTCAAGTGGCTCATAAGGCCACTACAATGTCCATCAACCTGGGTTCAAAACCCCTTATTGCCATTTTCTTTGAATTATGTCACATAGCTTCCAACTCATAAAAATAAAATAATAATAAAAAAATAACTAAATAAATAAATAAATAAATCATGTAAAAATGTCACATAGACTAGCCGGTAAAAATGACCTGCTTTTGCCGGTGACAGGACCATTTCTCGTATGAGCCACCAATGTCGTAAGATGATAAGAATAAGTAGTCGCCATCTTGCCCTTGGTTGTCTGTGAATCCAAGAAGAGTTTGATTCAGTTGTACTGGTATTATTGATTTCTAGGTAAGAATAAGCGGTCGTCATCTTGCGGTGGTTTCTGAATCCAAGAAGAGTTTAATTCAGTTGTATTGGTTTTATTGATTTCTATTGGCATCTTGATTGTACTTTATTTTGAGTTTTTAATATATTACTCTCGATTTAAAAAAAAAAAGTAGTATTAGAAAATAAATTAAAAAATGTATGGCATTGTATCAAAATTTACTTTTATACTTTTACAAAGCTTTCCTATAAAGATTAAAAAGTGTACATGAAATTAATAAAATTAAGTTGTTTTATGAAGTGGGACTTAAGAGCATGTTTGTTTATGAAATGTTTCAAAATATTCCAACATTCTAACTCCACCACATTTTTAACTCAATTTTAATTCAACTTCATTATCATCAATATTATTAATATAATTAAATAATATCGATCAATCATTCATACACATCACATCAACCTTAGTTTACTATTTATCGCTCACATT